GACTACGACATCATCGTAGCCATTATGGAATTGTGACATCCATTAATGGGTGCGCAATTGTCCACGGAATACGCATGTCAAGTTTCATGTTGATTGATTATGAATTGACGGAACCATGGGCTATTTTCAATGATCGTCACCCCTAAGAACAACAAGGTTAGTGCCCAGTTCCCTTTTACAAATCTTACAAATATTTTCGGGTAAAATTCAATTTCCTGGAAAGATAAAAATACCACTGACGTAATTCAGAAAAATAGTCTAGAGAGAGAGAGAGAGAGAGAGAGAGAGAGAGATGGGGTTTACCGTCCACTCGACACAGACTAGGTCATTTCGGGACTAACATATGGTTTAATTTTATTTCAATAATTCGCTTGAGAGTAGGGGTCTTTAGCAGTGTGAGGGAACCGGAGGACCCGGAGAAAACCCACGAGGTTGGACAGGCGACCCTACTCCTTGTCACGTACAACCGGGGAATCGAAACCACGCCAGTTGACTCAATGACCGGCCTTATTATACAGCGCTTACGTGCTAACCATTCAGCCATCCAACCCCCCGAATAGTTTAAACGAAGGAGAGAAAAACATGTTCTGAATGTAAGATTAATTAAGTTTTAAATACACCCTCTTTTAATGGACATTCCTCGAACAATATAAGTACGATTTTTTAAATTATAAAATTAGATATGTTCCTTTCGCATAACTGAAATAGATATCAATAGAGATTTTGTTAACAAAAGGTATTTTTTTTTCTGGTTGAGAAGTCGACAAGTGCACAGGTGTATCATACGTCTAGTGTTATAACATCGTTAGTGATATATGCGTAAGCTAATATATTTATATATATGGCTATTAGTAAGTTATACACAGTCTCTACACTGAAACTGGGTAAGTCTTTTAGGGAGAGAGAGAGAAATGGGGTTTAACGTCCACTTGACACAAACTAGGTCATTTCGGGACTAACATATGGTTTAATTTTATTTCAATAAGGGGTCTTTAGCAGTGGGAGTAAACCGGGGGACCCGAATAAAACCCACGAGGTTGGACAGGCAACCCTACTCCCTGTCACGTACAACCGGGGATTCGAAACCACACCAGTTGACTAAATGACAGGCCTTATGATACAGCGCGCACACGTTAACCATTCGGCCATCCACCCCCCCTAGTCTTTTAGGGAAAGGTATATGTGAGTTAAAACCATTGCTCGTCAATTGGAGAATTGAGTTGGATTTTTAAAAGGATTAGGGGGGTTGGATGGCTGAATGGTTAGCGTGCGCGCGCTGTATCATACAGTCTGTCATTGAGTCGACTGGCGTGGTTTCGAATCCCTGGTTGTACGTGGCAAGGAGTAGGATCGCCTGTCCAACCTCGTGGGTTTTCTCCGGGTCCCCCGGTTTCCTCCCACTGCTAAAGACCACTACGCGCAAGCGAATTATGTAAATAAAATTAAACCATATGTTAGTCCCGAAATGACCTAGTTTGTGTCGAGTGGACGTTAAACCCCATTTCTCTCTCTCTCTCTTTTAAAAGGATTAGCAGTTCAAAATATGAGTCACGGTGGCTAAGTGGGTAAGACGCTGGCTCGCTAGCCTGGAGGTCCCGTGTTCGCAATCCCTCTATTGGCAGAGAAAGTTCATTGGGATTTTCCGACGTGGTGTCCCCTTCTCAGTGGTGTAGGACAGAAGTCCTGACCAAGACATCTGTGTAGTCGTTCGGATGATACGATAAACCGATCCATTGGCAGTTGGAGTTCGACATAAGAGTAGGCCATAGTGCCGCTGCCCGGGCAAAATTTCCCTCATAGCACACTGTATGGCGTATGCCCGTCTTCATTAGTCCAGTTCGGAGCACAACAGTAGGACGTTAAACCCCATTTCATTTCATTGAATTGAAAACTTGACAACATTCTGTAGACGATATAACTAAACAAGTGAAATCCATTTATAGACATCACTTTTTTCCGGTTTAATCAAATGTTTTGATGATTTTGTTTTCTTAATTCAAAGTAATTAGTTATTGTCTGGTCAAGATTAACTGGGAGAAATTATTCATGAATGGTTGATTCCGGTAATAAAAGAGAGAGAGAGAGAGAGAGGGGGAGGAGAGAGAGAGAGAGAGAGAGAGGGAGAGAGAGAGAGGGGGGGGGGGGGTCATGTCATAATGGTACAATTTGTATATTTACATAATTCGCTAGCGCGTAGAAAAATCTTTAGCGCTGAGAGAAACCCTACGTGGTTAGGCCGGCAACCTTACTCTTTGTCACGTGCGAGTGTGGGATCGAGACCACGACTCATTAACAGACCATATGATCTAAAGCGCACGCGTTAGACCGGGATGACGAACCAAATGTTCACAAGACTAGAAAAAGAAGAATAGAAGAGAAGAATAAAACGCAAGCGGTGATTGGGGGGTTGGATGGCCGAATAGTTATCACGTGCGGGCTGTATCATAAGGTCTGTCATTGAGTCAACTGGCGTGGTTTCGATTCCCCGGTTGTACGTGACAAGGAGTAGGCCGGGTCGCCTGTCCAGTCTCGTGGGTTTTCTCCGGGTCCTCCGGTTTCCTCCCACTACTAAAGACCCCTACGCGCAAGCGAATTATTGAAATAAAATTGAACCATAATATGTTAGTCCCGAAATGACCTAGTTTGTGTCGAGTGGACGTTAAATCCCATCTCTCTCTCTCTCTCTCTCTCCCTCTCTCTCCCTCTCTCTGTCTCGCAAGCGGTGGCGCTAACACCACCAGATAAAAATACAAATAACGACTAGGCCACCGGATTTAATGATATGGAAATCTCACATATAATTTGGATAAAATTAATTTCGAACCTTGACTTTATAACTTAATGTCAAAGTTGATTTATCGGGGATTTTAAAATAGAGCCTCAGAGTAAGGTCGTATATCTGATAGTTAGTCATAACAGACAGTTGACTATTAATACAGCGATGCGAAACTGAAAACTTTGCTGACTGGGAATAACTTCACGATAACATTTTCGAGAATAAAAATTGGTTAATTTTGTGTTAAAATCAAAAAAAAAAAAAACCTCTACCTTAGGGCCGAGCAGCTAACTCATTATATGTGACACGTTTTCAAACAACTTAAAGTTACAATTTCATATTTTTAAGTTATATTTTTAAAATTTATTAAAATAAAGCCTTAAAATAGATGGTATCCATAAACCGTCCTACTTGTTAAAGAATAATCCTATTAATCCTATAATTCACTATTGCCAGCTGAGAAATTGGCAAAAATATCATTTTCAACGTCAAATTCCAACGTTTGAAGGTAGCTAATGCATGGAGGCAATTGTGTTATTATTTCCTGTGTCAATGATTTGTAAGGGTGGGAAATAATACCCATGGTCGTATAATAGTGAGTTAATAACCTATTGAGCAAAAGACATAGAAATGATTATGTTTTGACTTTCTTAGAAAATATGAAATTGTCGCTTTAAACCTGCCAGTCTTCATCTGGAGATGGAGACCGGTCTCCCAAGCTGTATTATGCGGTGGCTGGATAAAACCAGACTTTTATTTTATAAAACTAATGTCTAAGTGAAACTTACCTTTCGTTATCAAGTACAACACATAGGTCATTCACTGTATTGATCCGTAAAGGAAAAACTGACCCGAAATCTTAAAAGGGTTACGTGTGCGGATAAGCCGTTTTGACGTTCACGTCCAAACGACTCAATATTTTGAGCTGAAAATTTGAGACACGATAAATACACCATTCCTCTATATTTTGGCGCTTAAATTTCAAACGTACTCAGTCATTGTTCAAATTGTTCAAATCGGTATAGTCCCTTTAAAGCACCTTGCATTTCGCAATCCTTCCCTGTTGGCCCCAAAAAGTAGAACGTTACGCCTTTTTTCATGTCACATGTCTAGGTGTGTGTATGTATTAATATCAATGTACCATAAACCCAATACTCACTTCCTTAATTAAACATACATTATGCAAGAGCTAAATCTGCCTATTGCAAGGTCTTTCTTTAGACCTGAAATGTTTTATAACCTATTAATTAGACATTAATTAACTTATCCAGACCATAATCAACTCTAGATGGCATCGCTAGCCTGCGATGTTTATTGGATTAGGTTCCGATTTCCTGTTCGACTTCCATTCTAATTTAATCATGTAGCAGATTTAGCTCTTGCATAATGATTGTTTAAAATATTGTTTTAGTATATAAAATGTTCACACTGGCTAAACTGTCCATTCAGAGGTCCATCAAAATGTTGTTTTTATTTATATTTCAGAAGATTATAATGGTCATCTAAATACCCGAAAGAAATATAATCGGAGGATGTAACATGTTCAAATTGTTCTAAATGTCGGTTTGTTGCCCAGATAAATCGGTTTTCTGATTAGCGTTTCGCCCAAAAGTCAATTTTCTGTTTCGGTTGTTTTTTTTATGAAAGATAAACAGGAAAATATTGAAAAGAGTCGTTGTAATGGTTTATGGCAGGAAATATTATCAAGGGCACGATACTTCGTCACCCATTTATTTTTAAAACTAAAAGTTAATAAGGAGTGTCATTCGTGTTCACAGTTCATTTTTGGGGATATGTTATTAATAACGTTTCAACGTTTATAAACCACATTTACCGGGTAAACCTGATATTAATGGTATTATACTACAGATCAGCTTTGTGCGCTGGTTTAATGGTTGTTACTCTGTGTTCTTGGCCTGAGACCTAGAGTATAACGTTACCGTACAGGCCAGCTTTGTGCGCTGGTTTAATGGTGTTACCTCGTGTTCTTGGGCTGAGACCTAGAGTATAACGTTACCGTACAGGCCAGCTTTGTGCGCTGGTTTAATGGTTGTTAAATCCCGTGTTCTTGGGCTGAGACCTAGAATATAACGTTATCGTACAGGCCATCCTTGTGTGCTGGTTTAGTGGTGTTACCTCAACCTCATGTTTTTGTGGTAAACCCTAGAGTATAACGTTACCGTACAGGTCAGCCTTGTATGCTAATTCTTAATCTTATGTTGTTACTCTGTAAGTCAACCTTGTGTATTAATCTGTAGTTAAACAGTGCTTTCATGGAAGTTAACGTTGTGTGTGCTAAAAGCGTAGTTAAACAGTGTTTTCAGTTTAACGGTATTACTCTGGAAGTCAACTTTGTGTGCTTAAGCGTAAGTTAACAGTGTTACTCTGGAAGTAAACTTTGTGTGCTAAAACGTAATTTAACAGTGTTACTCTGGAAGTCAACTTTGTGTGCTAAAAACGTAATTTAACAGTGTTATTCTGGAAGTCAACTTTGTGTGCTAAATCTTAGTTTAAATAAATTATACATCATCCGGCTATATACAACTATCAATGGATCAAAATCAAATACTTATTCTAGTTCTAGCTGCCACGGCAGCGCTTGTTACATACAAGCTCACTAATTTTAACAACCCCCAGGATGTAAAAAATGCGATTCCTATCTACAACACTGGATATAAAAAGACTCCAAGAAGGGGAGATAATTCTGTGAACACTGGAGACGTCTGGATGAGAGCAGCAACATCTCCCAATTCAAGTATTGAGGTTTCAGATAATCTTCAGAGAATTTTAGAGAAAAAATATTCCAGATTTCGGTATTGTCATATATGTGAGGTATGTATGACCACACCAGTAAGATATTAAGAGAGAGAGAGAGAGAGAGAGAGAGAGAGAGAGAGAGAGTTTAACGTTCACTCGACACAAACTAGGTCATTACGGGACTAACATATAGTTCAATTTCATTTAGCCGTGGGAGGAAACCGGAGGACCCTGAGAAAACCCACGAGGTTGGACAAACGATCCTACTTTTTGTCACGTAAAACCGGGAATCGAAAAACCATACACTTGACTCAATGACAGATCTTATGATACAACGCGCACACGCCCCTCCTCCCCCCCTGACCATACGATCCGGAACCATTTACAGTATTAGAGTATTAAATATTTTGTGTATATGGCTTGACTACCATCTGGGAAGACCCTTGTGGCTCAGTGGGGAGCAAGACGCTGGCTCGCTAGTCTGGAGGTCTCTGGATCGCCTCTGGCTTTGTTTCCACTTCTCTGTGGTACAGGACAGCTGTCTAGTCGTTCGGATGGGACAGGAAACCAAGGTCCCGTGTACACATTGACATGCACGTAAACGAGCCCTTAACAGATGGAATTCGATGTAAGAGTAAGTCATAGCGCCACTGTCCGGGCAAAAGTTCACTCATAACAGACCAGTAGGACGTTAAATCCCATTTCATTTTAATTCGACAACAATATGGACTGCCCTCGAGATTAAAGGAGCTAAATCGCTAATATTGGGGACCTAGAAATTGACACAAATGGGTCGCAACGTAAATAAATATGTAGTATGAATGTATAAAAACTGATTTACATTCAATCGTTTCTATTTTTACTCTAATTTCTAATCAGTTATGTTCGGCGAAATACGCGAAGAGTCCCAACTGAATGGCAATCTTTTGGCGTCTGGTTATTCACCGATAGTATTCACCTGTAGGGTATGTTTAGCCTCGTTCATCGAGTTGCTTCATTACAATTTGCGATCGAAAGCATTCTGGCACGAGCTTCGTGTGCCTATTTTAAAATTTTCATTTTGTCTTAAAAAATTGGATACCAGAAGCCCATCTTTTCACGGTAAGATAACAACACCATATTGTCCTACTTTGGGAAATTGTTATTATAGAATTGACCTGTCTCTCATTCTAATATATACGTTATGACATTAGGGACAGATTAACGTATGTTAATTATTTGGTTTTAAATTTCAGGAGATTATTCAATTGATCAACATCCACATCAAGAGCAATTCTACATTCCAGTATTTTCGAGCACCTGCAGTAGTTCTGTGTAATAGAGTTTCGCCGCTAGCTGGATTTGATCATTCTATATGTAATGGAATTATAGATACATACGGCCCACCGGTAATATATCTATTATGTTAAACACAAATTGTATGATATGCATGTTCATTCGAAAGGTGGAGGAGGCTATGTTCGGGCGTTCAAAATGTTTTCTTTGAATTCAACAAGTCAATATTGGTTCTTTTTAATGAATGCCAGAATTTCTTTTAATGAACAAAAACCCTTGTAATTATGCAAGGCATTTTAATTTTTTATTTGTTTTATTTCAAGTATTATATTTGTATTAATAGCTTTTATATGTGGCCGATCAACTCGTATTAGACCCGCACACAACTTGTAAAAAAATGAGTTTCTGCGTTCCTAAATTAATTACAAATCAACAATCGTCCAAGTTTCACAGTTTTACACAAGACGAACCACAAATTGAAATAGTTGACCCCATGTCACCGAAAATGACGTCAACCAAGCCATCAGAGAGAGATAAACCTACGGAGACTTTAAGGGTTCTACAGATTTCTGACATTCATGTAGACAAATTTTATAAACCGGTAAGTCCCGTTTTATATTGTCACGTTAATCTACTATTGAAAATTTAAAGCGGAAATTTCAAATTTTTAAGTTATATTTTTAAAATTTATTAAAATAAAGCCTGAAAATAGATGGTATCCATAAACTGTCCTACCTTGTTAAAGAATAATCCTATTAATCCTATAATTCACTATTGTCAGCTGAGAAATTGGCAAAAATATCATTTTCAACTTCAAATTCCAAAGTTGGCTGAACACATGTTGTCAATAGGAAAACAAGGGAGGTAATTGTGTTATTATTTCCTGTGTCATAGATTTTTAAGGGTGGGAAATAATGCTCATGATCGTATAATAGTCAGTTGATAACCTACTGAGCAAAAGACATAGAAATAATGATTTTCTCCCGCGTCTATTTTCGGGGGTCTCGGTGCTGTAGAGATTAAATCACTGAACTAGAAGGCCATAGAATCCGAGGTCCACCCGCGTACTCATTGGTGTGGGTAATTTTACAAAACTAACAACTGTTTGATTTTAGTGTGATTAACTTCGCGCCAATATGGATGACGAGTGGCTAATAGTTTAACGCGTGCGCGTGAAATCATAAGGTCTGTCATTGAGTCAAGTCGCGTGGTTTCGATTCTCCGCCAGTACGTGACAAGAAATATAGTCGTATGTCCAGCCTCGTGGGTTTTCCCCGGGTCCTCCGGTTTCCTCCCACTGCTACAGACCCCTACGCTCAAGCGAATTATTGAAATATAATTGAGCCGTATGTTGGTCCCGAAATGAACTAGTTTGTGTCGAGTGGACGTTAAACCCCATTTCTCTCTCTCTCTCTCTCTCTCGCAAGGGGAGCTAAGTCATCAAAGTTAGGAAATGAAATGGGGATTAATGCCCTACTGTTTTGCTCCGATTGGACTAATGAAACAGTGTGCTATGAGGGAAATTTTGCCCGGACAGTGGTGCTACGGTCTACTCTTATATTGAATTCTAAATAAGGATTAGGCGTCCTTTAACGTGCACTCTAGGAAAACCCCTAGACAGCTGTCCGTACCAGACCCTCGGTTCTGCACCATTGACAAGGGGAAATATCGCCGAGACAATTCCATAATCAATATACTTTAGAGGTGTAAATCCTGTTTCGAACCTGACTGGTGATGACCTAGGCAGTTCTTCGGGGGTTTCCCCTAGTCAGTGGTCCAGAACGAATGGTCTGGGTAAGGAAAGCTTCTGGTCATTCGGATGGTACAAAAACGAAATGAAATAAAATGGGGTTTAACGTCCTACTGTTCTGCTCCGAACTAGGCTAATGAGAGAGAGAGAGAGAGAGAGAGAGAGAGAAATGGGGTTTAACGTCCACTCGACTAACAGATGGTTTAATTTTATGTCCATAATTCGCTTGCGCGTAAGGGTCTTTAGCAGTTGGAGGAAACCGGAGGACCCGGAGAAAACCCACGAGGTTGGACAGGCGACCCTATTCCCTGTCACGTACAACCGGGGAATCGAAACCCCGCCAGTTGACTCAATGACAGACCGTATGATACAGCGCGCGTGCTAACCATTCGGCCATCCAACCCCCCACTGGGCTAATGAAGTCGGGCATATTCCATACAGTGTGCTATGAGGGAAATATTGCCCTACGGGCTACTCTTATATCGAATTCCAACTGTCAAGGGATCTTTCACGTGCACGCCAATGTGTACACGGGAACTCGGTTTTTCGTCCAATTAGACAGCAGTCCTTGCCAGACCCTCCGTCCTGCATCACTGACAAGGGAGAGCCACGCAGGGATTTGTTATTTTATTTTTTTTTTTTACCAGGGTTCCCCGTCAAATTGTGATATTTTTCTTTGCTGTCACGAAGATGTCAATGGAACGGTAAGTCTCACTGATTTTATTTTTTGTAAACAGGAGGGGGGTTGGGGTGGGGACGGGTGGTGATTGCCTGAATGGTTTAGCGCGAGGACGTTAAATCGCAATGTCTGTCATCGATTCCCCGCTTGTACGTCAAAAGGACTAAGGTCGTCCGTCCAACCTCGTTGGTTTTCTCCTTTTCTCCCGGTCCTCCCGTCGCTAAAGACCCCTACGGGCAAGTGAATTATTGAAATACAATTGAACAATATGCTAGTCTTGAAATGACATAGTTTTGTCGAGTGGACGTTAAACCTCATCTCTCTCTCTCGTTTTGTAAGCAGTTACATAAAACAAATACATCCCATTTTTGTTATGGAAAATACAGAAACATTGCAAAAGAAAACAATAACAAAACAGGATGATATTGTAATGGTGTGATAATCTTCCAGTCGCTAATATAATTGTCGCCTGTCCAACCTCGTGGGTTTTCTTCGGGTCCTCCGGTTTCCTCCCACTGCTAAAGACCCCTACGCGCAAGCGAATTATTGAAATAAAAAAACCCAAACAAACCAAAAAACCATTATGTTTGTCTCAAGGTGATCTAGTTTTTGTTTTGTCGAGTGGACGTTAAACCCTATTCCTCTCTCCCTCGCTAATATATTTAATGTTTCTTATATTAACGACTTTAAGGTCAACTGGCTAGGAAGTCGTTAACCTCACTCGGCAAACCTCGGCATATTCCTTTACTCTACATCTAGCCTGTATGACGTTAAGTGATATGTAGCTACGCCTATACAATTGCGATGCGCCACTGGTTTACTTATTAGGAACACTTGCCGCTTCTAAAACCAAGTTCTCAAAATTGCGTCGTTCGCAGAGTGTGTAGAATTTTCAGTGCAAAGTTGTCCTTGTTTGAAAAAAATCAGATAAACAGCTTCAGACTTTGAAATATTTGTATGATAAAACATTGTTCAAAGGCGTCGTCATGGGCAACGCCGTTGGTAATCTGGGAACTTGAAAGTAGTTCCAATGGCGGACTTCGTCATACCGCCGAGGCTAGATGTAGGGTACTGGAATCTGCTGAGGTTTGCCGAGTGTCGTTAACCTGTCACTACTTTTCAAGCCGTCATTGGGTAACGACGTTAATCCCATCTATTGTTTTTGTTGATTTATTATATTGTTTAATCCTTTCTTTATGCATTGTTCATCTATCGACATGTCAGTTTTATTTACAACATTTACTTTTATCCTATTATCTGATTTTCCTTAAATATAATAAAATTTGCACATTGATGGCAGTCACTAGTTAGGATCCATTACTAAGTGCAGTAACTGTATGATGATATGTATATTTATGATCAAGTATATTATGAGAGATTATATAAAGAGCTGACAGTTCTCACTATAATAGTTAAAAACTAGATAATGTAAAGGGAATTTGCTGAAAATTTCGGTTAAATTGATCCACCCTGAACCGCGATTTTAGCGGTTGAATTTTCGCCCTAGCCTCGATCATCATTACTAAAGTCTGTGCGATAAAAAAAAACATAGTCTCGATTATCCATTTAATGATTTAATTGTGAACAGGAAATCGGAACCTAATCCAATAAACATCGCAGGCTAGCGATGCCATCGAGAGTTGATTATGGTCTGGATAAGTTAATTAATGTCTAATTAATGATATAGATAACAATTCAGACCTAAAGAAAGACCTGCAATAGACAGATTTAACTCTTGCATAATGTTTGTTTAAATAGTATTGAAGAATCATTCGAAGTCTGTTATATCCGGAGATATAAAATATCTAAAATATTTGTGTTATTTATAAAAATTTGGAGTTACCACTTTATTTATTTATGTAAGTTACCATGTACATTTTGTTTATTTATGTAGGAGCCAGCTGGTTACTATGGTGAATATAACTGTGATTTACCCTGGTGGACCGTAGACGTTCTAGTAGACTCGATCAAACAGATAGAACCACCACCAGATTTTATCATCTATACAGGTAGACTCGATCTTCTGCTTCTTTTAAATGAAGGAAATGAAATGAAATGGGATTTAACGTCCTACTGTTATGCTCCGACTGGGCTAATGAAGACGGGCATATGCCATACAGTGTGTTATGAGGGAAATTTGGCCCAGACAGTGGTGTTTCACGTGTATGCCAATGTGTACACGGGACCTCGGTTTTTCGTTCCACCCGAACGACTAGACAGCTGTCCTTGTCATGCCCTCCATCCCCCATCCTGCACCACTGACAAGGTCCACAAACCAGGATAATAAACAAGAAAACACGCCATACATTGCACTGTGAGATCAGTTTTGTCCGGACAAAGGGTCAAATAGTCAACGGCGTCTCCATTTATTCTTCGTCGAAAATGGAGCATTGTGTTTTAGTACCACGTGAAGGACTAGAAGCCTGCCAGATATGTACTTTGATTTTACTCGTAGACGTCAAATGTTACCGTTATGTCGCAATACAAATATTAAGTGGAGTTACTTCCCTTGAGATACGTATGCCTGTCAAATAAGACCCCCACCCCCCATACTATATAGTCTAGGTGATTGAGGCCAACTCAGACCGTGGATTAATCACGTGGCACATGAATGCGGTTTAACATCCTAAATGAAGACAAGGGGCGTGGGTGGCTTGGCTGCGTGACCAAAAGGTTAACGGGTGCACGTTGCATCATAAGGTCTGTCATTGGGTCAAATGGCGTGGTTCCGATTCCCCCGTTTGTATGTTGGGTCGCCTCGCCAGCCTCTTGGGTTTTCTCCGGGTCCTCAGGTTTCCTCCCAGTGCTAAAAGACCCCCTACACACTAGCGAATTATTGAAACATAATGGAACCACATGTTAGTCCCGAAACGACCTACATGTAGTCTCTCTCTCTCTTCCAATCAAGCGATACTATGACGTCAAGAATGTAATTAAGGTATATTAAGACTATTAACGACCGTTGTATATATTGTATTAAAAGGTGATTCCCCACCACATGACGTATGGAAGCAGAATTGGAAAGGTCAGTTGGCAACTGATAGAGATGTTATTGATTTTCTCAACGATAGATTTGATGGTATCAATATATATCCTACATTAGGTAACCATGGTAAGCAAAACACACTTTCATATTTACAACAACTGTTTAATTTTCACAGGGATCCGCGGTGACTCAATGAGTAGCACGTTGGCTCGCTAACCTGGAGGTTCCGTGTGCGACCACGGTGTCGGCCGAGAAAATTCATCAGGATTTAAGGGCGGCTTAATCCACATTAATTAAGAAAAGACAATCAGAATATCCCGGCTTAGATTTAAGGGCGGCTTAATCCACATTAATTAAGAAAAGAGGGTTATAGACAGTCAAAATATCCCGGCTTAGATTCAATTGGATTAAAGGCTCAATACCACTCTTGTTGTAACTGAATAATATGTCCCAATCTATATTCTAGTCAACAAATTGTACTATTTTACAATATTCCAATTAATTGATGATACAAATTTCATCTTAACACACCTAATTTAAAAAATTGGAAGAATTCAACTAAATGGTTTGAAAAGCCTGACGTAAAGCTTTTCAAATGTGACCTGGATTTAAAAATATTTTTGAACCCTCTGAACAAGTAAAATAGGATGTAATGGATAATTTACACAACAGGAAGGACACTTAAACATCTAGTAGTTAAAATAAGGCTATTATTTATTTTCTGGAGATGTCAAGCCAGCAAGAGTGTTATTGTCCCTTTAAAAGAGGCCCATCAAAACGTTATATATAGGTGGCGTTGGTTTGTTTTGATCTACTACATGTTTGGCGCAATATAGCCCGGTTGGTGCTGACGTGCCATAAAACAACATTCATCCCATTTATATCAATCATAATTACTGAGCGGAACAATCTGATTAAAACACAGATCCTATTTCGTTTCGTTTTTTATAGTTCAAAATTTCGTTTTACTTGTTTTCACAATACTAGTATCTGAAAGAGTTGTTATATAACCCGCGTTCTAATTGATGTGAGGGACCAGCCAATGAAACGGTGTGTTACGGCGAGTTCTTGGCGTGCGTTGCACGGAATTATGGGTATCCCACTAGAAACATCAACGTTGATAAGTTAATCAGATGTCTGACGTCATAGGGTCGAAAGCCGCTCGTATGACCTCTGACGCGACCTTCCACTACAACCGGTGAGATCTTCATGTAGTAGAAGACATCGAAACGAAACGAAATTTTGTGAATCAGGGGCCTGTTTCACAAAATTTTAACTAAGGTAAAATCCAAATTTTAGTAATTTGATTGGATAATATTAGATTGATTCTAGTGCTTAGCCAATCAAAATTGAAGTATCTACTAAAACTGGGATTTTATCTTTAGTTAAAATTTCGTGAAACAGGGCCCTGTATTTTAATCAGATTATAAACGGAAATAAACTTAGAGATTCAACTTTAACAGTAGTCGTGTCCAACCTCGTGGGTTTTCTCCGGGTCCTCCGGTTTCCTCCCACTGCTAAAGACCCCTAAGCGCAAGCGAATTATTGAAATGAAATTAAACCATATGTTAGTCCCGAAATGACCTAGTTTGTGTCGAGTGGACGTTAAACCCCATTTCTCTCTCTCTCTTTTTAACAGTAGTCGATAGAAATAAACAATGCCAGCTGTAAATCATAAAAAAAAACATAGTGCTGCCATATTCCTGAAGCAATGGTCCGAGAAATCCCTCTCTGGCCATTGCTGGATTGACTTCTGATACTTGAGCTTTTGAGGGAGTTTGTCTATTCTTCCCGTTCAATCAAATCTATCCCCAAGCACAGCAACATGACAGCCCGTCGTTTAATCTGGGTTCTTCCCTAAAACTTTGGACAGTGATTTAAGGTATTAAAAACGGTGAAAGTATTGTTCGTCTCCAAACAGTATTGTTTACATTGTTTTCGATTTGATAGCCTCTTTTGTCACGCAATTAGTTTTTTCTGCAATATTCTGCTATGCACTGGTTAATTGGGCATAATAAAATCGTGAGTTATGACGTACGTTATGTAAACATATTTGGTCCAATTTGGAGCTCTGTTTTAAGCGTAATGCTTTTGTAACGCAGTTAGCTATTGGTTGTTAATCGGACCATTGACCGGTCATAATTTGGAACAGAAATTTGCTTTCGTTAAAGCAGTGTTTAGTGGGGTTAGGTATAATCAAACGAAACACTGCGAGGTGTATGCCTGTAAATGTATCAGATTTTTTTATAATATATTCTGTGTGTTTTCTATTCAGAATCATTTCCGGCCAATCTCTATTACTCACCATTACGAGATTATCAAGTAAATATACTTTATTTATTTTCATTCACCAACCTATTAACCCATGGTTGACCCCCTAATCTTCCAGCTTATTTGGGCCTCGTATTTATTTTAATTCACCATCCTATTAACCCATGGCAGACACCCTAATCTTCCAGCTTATTTGGGCCCCGCATCTTTAACTCTAAAAAGCAAAAAACAAAAAAACAGGTTGCATGGACCCGTTCTTTTGGTCGACCCCTTTTTGGGAGAGCTGGGGTGCCTGACTGGGTTTTAAATCGGGGCACCCATTATATCCCCGCTTAGACCTTTATTCATTAAGGGTGCGGGTGGGGGTAGCTCATACTCGTTTTATCATAAGGCCTGCCATTGAGTCACCTGGCGTGGTGTCATTGTACGTGACAAGGAGTAGGGTCGCTTGTCCAACCTTGTAGGGTTTCTCCGGTTCCTCCCTTTTTCTCCCACAGCTAAAGACCCCTACGCGCAAGCGAATTATCGAAATAAAATTGAACCATGTGTTAGTCCAAAAATAACCTAGTTTGTGTCGAGTAGACGTTAAACCACATCTCTCTCTCTCATTTATTACAGATTTAGAACACATTTTTATTTTTCCCGATCGCTAGCAGCATCAGACGTTCAGATAAAAATAAATCTTTGGGGTCCAATTCGTGACTTAATTGTGTCTAAGTACGGTGCTGGTTTATTCTCGGCAACACGCGATCAGATATAGAAATAAGTGTTCTTGGTCGAAGTTGCAACCCAATTGAACTCCAAGGGACTTGTCGATTAGTTCAATTCTTAAAGTAGCTAGGTCTCTAACTCAATATCATCCAAAGTCTTCGACATTGAAAACACGAAATATTTGTCAATTTAAATCATCACTGATGTTGTGATATTACCCTGAAAAATCGGCTTCCGATATCTAATATTTAAGATAAAATAAATATTTTACCATTGGTACACGAATCGTGTACCGTAATGTATTTCGGCGCCATTTGTAACACGGTACTCGACGAACGAAGCCAGACATATTCCACAAGTCATGTCAAACTGTGACCACATATTCTTATCTGGAGAGCATGCGCAATAAATACTATCGGTGCAGACTGAAATAACCTGGCGATAGAGAATGCCATTGGATTGAAACATCTGGCGTATTTCGCCAAACATAGCTGCTTTGAAATTAGAGTGACAACAGAAACGATTGAATGTAAATCAGTTTATATACATTCATATTACAGTATTATACGCGTTGCGACCCATTTGTGTCAATTTCTAGGTACCAAATATTAGCGATTTATCTCCTTTAAATACCGTGATGTTTTAATTTTGGACTTTGGACAATAAGTATGATGTAAGTTGATTCAATAGATCTCGCGCCTTCTAAATATTAAAGAACCACGCTGGCTCGGTTAGTTTGATGCAACGCGCACGCGCTATTTAACAATTCGGCCATCCACCCCCACCCTCGCCCCCGTTAAGTATGGCCCTAGCTCACAAACAAAGATCTCAATTTCGATCCCAGTGTTGACCGAGAAAGTGCCTTTGCCCTTTTCCACCCTGGTATCCTCTTGTCATTGGTGCAGGACGGTGGACCAGGCAAACGAAAAGGGTCTAGTTGTTCGGGTAGTGTAAACAGTCAAGGTTTACCCAAAATGAAACTAAATGGGAAATTTTGATCTTGCAGCGGCACACCAGCCTACTCGTATATCGAATTCCAACTGCCAAGAGATCTTTTACGTGCACGCCAATGTGTACACGGGGCCTCGGGTTTTTCGTCCCATTCGAACGACTCTACGGCTGTCCTTGCCAGGCACCCCTGATAAGGGGCAACCAATCCGGAAAATCTCGATGAACTTCCGCGGCCAACACCGGGAGCGAAACCCCGACCTCTGGGCTAGCGAGCCGACGTCTTACTCACTTAGCCACAATGGCTCCCAACTCTGTATAGAGTATTTGATAAGGTATAATATATGAGGAGTCCAGGGGAAGAACGGATCTAAGTCACAGTTTTGTCTTTTCGCATAAACAGACTTTTGGACGAAAATGCTTGCCGCGAACAGAACAACGAGTGGGTTTAATTACAACTTCAAAAGGATGTTTAATACGAATCCACTTCCACTTTTCAGCCAAATTAAGGTCAAATAAATACGATGGACTTGTATTTGTCCGGGTGGCCATTTCAGAAGGCCCTTGGTTCGATGTGACTTCGATCGTTTTTACCTCAAAATTGATTGTTCCACAGAAAGTTTTTCAATTTGCTACCAGATAGCGCCATTAACTGAGGTTCGTTGAAAAGGTGGCTTAGATCGTTGTTCCCGGGGCTCTTCATATAATATATTTGGTGTTCGTGGGAATGGTAACCATACACTGTGACTTGGTGGACTACCAATCCCGTCTATGAATAATCCAGGCCTTATTAACATTGCAGAAACTGAACAAAAGAAGCTTACATCTATGGAAGAAACTATTTCCCTTACCAAAAGATCAGAAGACTAACATCAAAGAAGCCGCCTATTATACCGCCTTGGTTAAACCAGGTCTTAGGATCCTTAGTTTTAATACAAATTACGGGTAAAGATAAATAAATATATAAATGGGGTTTAACGTCCACTCGACACAAACTAGGTCATTTCGGGACTGACATATGATTCAATTTTATTCAATAATTCGTTTGCGCGTAGGGGTCTTTAGCAGTGAGAGGAAATCGGAGGACCCGGAGAAAACCCAGGAGGTTGGACAGGTGACCCTACTTCTTTTCACGTACAACCGGGGAATCGAAACCACGCCAGTTGACTCAATGATAGACCTTATGATACAATGCTCACCCGCTAACCATTCGATCACGTGGCTAAGTGGGTAAGACGCTGGCTCGCTAGCCTGGAGGTCGGGTGTTCGATCCCTGCATTGGCCGAGAAAGTTCATCCAGATTTTCCGGCGTGGTTCCCCCTTGTCAGTGATGCAGGACGGAGGCCCTGACAAGGACAGCTGTCTAGTCCTTAGGATGATACGAAAAACCGAGGTTCCGTGTATATATTGGAATGCACGTAAAAGATCCCCTGGCAGTTGGAATTCAATATAAGAGTAGGCGATAGTGCCGCTGCCCGGGTAAAATTTCCCTCGTAGCCCAGTATAGGAGCAGAACAGTAGGACGTTAAACCCCATTTCATTTCATTTCATTTCATCCCCCCCCCCCCTATCTAAGGAGGTTGAAACCGGGTTATTGAAGACGAGAAAATAACAAAATAGATAAATAGATAATCAATAAGAGTGAATGAAGACGGGTTTACATCAGGTGGAGTGTTATGGGTGTCATTTTGCTATTTAAAAGTAGGTGTTGTCACCACATACCGTACAGTCGGGACAATTTTCGCTTCTATACTGAAAATTCCCGACATACTATAATCTATGGCGGCACTCCCGAGGAAAATGAAATATTTTAGTTTTAGTGGATATGTGAATTCGACCCCCCCCCCCCCCACCATTGAATTATCCCGAGAAACAGAAATCTTTAGACGTAAATATTCTTAGCACCCTCGCCTCCATCCCGGTCCAATTCTCTCTCGCTCGCTCTTAACTGTTTATGCAAGGGACAGGGGGTTTAAATACTGGTTAAGTATTTTCCCCAATCCCATTCAGCTATACAGAATAAAAATATTATTTATAAAAAAAAAATCAACAAACTGTATATTTTTCTTGTTTAGGTACACGTTTAATTTTTACGCTCTACTGAACTGGAAGAACCCAACTCTAGATGCCCAGCGAAGATTTATGAAAAAGACTTTGACAAAGGCAAAGATTAACGGTGAAAAGGTAAGTGACTTTACCATATATGGTACCCATGACGTCTTAACCTTGACTTGTTTTTAATAATGTGTCCGGGGCGGATCCAGGCAATTTTTGCAGGAGGGGGTTTGCCAGGTTCCTGTTCAGGAAATTTGATAGTTGACAAATACATGATGCCATGATCGTCCCCAAATTACGTAGGCACATTGAGGTTTTTAAAGAAAGAAACCCAACATCCCGTTTGATTATGAATTAATAGGGTCACATTGCGATTAAACCTTATTGATGCAAAGCATTAATTTTGATACCACATATGCCTATATCATTATCTCGTCCTTTGAATACCCATCCGATCCCATCTTCTGATGATAAAGGATTCGCCCCAGTTTGTATGAAAACATGAGATGCATGTGCTATAATATATTCCAGAAGTAAAATGAAACCTTTTTAAGAATGGAGCCGTCCTTGGTTTAGCGGTAACATTTTCCCAGGATTTTAAATTTCAACCAATGAATAGGCTGCATTCTAAAAATATCTAAAGATGTTTCGTATTGTGAATAAGAACCAAAAGAAGTATATTGTAACCATTCAATCCCTGGAAAACAATTGGTCATATCACTAGTGTAAGTGCCATGGGGTGGGACACGTGATCGAACCACCCACTCCTCTAAAATATAATATAAGTAATAAGTAATAATTATTATTCACGGAATATCTACCAGCAGGGCAACTGGCTCTGTTAGATGGTCCAGGGATGGAGGAGGGGGGGGGGCACCATTTCACAATTTAGTAAGGTCCTCACCTCCACTGATTCACGCTTGTACCGCATCGTGATATAATTTGTTTTCATGCCACAGGTTATAACAATTTATTTTCATGCCACGTGTTATAATATTTGTTTTATGCCACGTGTTATAATAATTTGGTTTTCATGCTACAGGTTATAATAATTTGTTTTAATGCTACAGGTTATAACAATTTATTTTTATGCCACAGATTATAATAGTTGTTTTATGTCACGTGTTATAATAATTTGGTTTTCATGCTACAGGTTATATTATTTTTTTTATGGTAGAGGTTATGTTATTTGGTTTTTATGCCACGTGTTATAATAATTGGTTTTTATGCCACAGGTTATAATAATTGGTTTTTATGCCACAGGTTATAATAATTGGTTTTTATGCCACAGGTTATAATAATTGGTTTTTATGCCACAGGTTATAATAATTGGTTTTTATGCTACAGGTTATAATAATTTGTTTTTATGCTACAGGTTATAATAATTTGTTTTTATGACACATATTATAATATTTGTTTTAAATGCTACAGGTTATTATAATTTGTTTTTAATGTCACAGGTTAGAATAAGCTGTCATGCCACAGGTTATAATAATTGTTTTATGCCACAGGTTATAATAATTGTTTTATGCCACAGGTTATTATAATTTGTTTTTATGCCACAGGTTATTATGATTTGTTTTTATGCCACAAGTTATAATAAATCGTTTTTATGCTACAGGTTATTATAATTTGTTTTTATGCCACAGGTTATTATGATTTGTTTTTATGCCACATATTATAATATTTGTTTTGAATGCTACAGGTTATTATAATTTGTTTTTAATGTCACAGGTTAGAATAAACTGTTATGCCACAGGTTATAATAATTGTTTTTATGCCACAGGTTATTATAATTGGTCATATACCACCTGGTGATGTACCTAATACTTTTGATGAATATGGTCAATTCTATACTCAACTGGTTACCAATTACAGTGACATTATCGTTCTTCAGTTATTTGGTCATACCCACCGTGACCAGTATGAAATGGTAGGTTCAAATGTTACATGAAATAACAGAACAATCTCGCGACACACTGGGAATTAGCTCAATCTGATTAAAACGCAGATCCTATTTCGTTTCGTTTTTTATAGTTCAAAATTTCGTTTTACTTGTGTTTACTACACTAGGCCCTGGAAGTTTTGTTATATAACCCGCGTTCTGGATGATTGGAGGGATTAGCTGAATTGCTTCAATGGCATTTAGTAATTGAACTGGCTTAGTTTGATTCCCCGGTTGTACGTAACAAGCGTATTGAAATAAAATTAAACCATATGTTAGTCCCGAAATGACATAGTTTGTGTTGAGTGGACATTAAATCCCATTTCTCTCTCTCTCTGTTGTCAGATTGCATTGCCCTACCTAAATAATAAACTGGTGTGATGGATATAGGTAGGATACATAGAGGATAAATAGGTAGATTTTAAACATGTGACCCTCTCCCACAAAACCAGGCGTTTGTCGCACAACTTCATTTTTTTACTACGGCCAAACTCCAGATGATACGACAAATTTAAAAAGAATTGCATTTTTGGAAAACTTAGGCTGTGGACTATTCAAATATGTTGCCAGCTCTATTTTCATAAATATGACCAAGAGACTGGTTTTGTGGGAGCAGCTCATATATTGTTGGCAAAGAAATGAAATGGGGTTTAACGTCCTACTGTTCTGGGCTAATGAAGACGGGCATACGCCATACAGTGTAGATTTTTCTACGCGCTAGCGAATTATGTAAATATACAAATTGTACCATTATGACATGACCCCCCCCCCCCCTCTCTCTCTCTCCCTCTCTCTCTCTCTCTCTCTCTCCTCCCCCTCTCTCTCTCTCTCTCTCTTTTATTACCGGAATCAACCATTCATGAATAATTTCTCCCAGTTAATCTTGACCAGACAATAACTAATTACTTTGAATTAAGAAAACAAAATCATCAAAACATTTGATTAAACCGGAAAAAAGTGATGTCTATAAATGGATTTCACTTGTTTAGTTATATCGTCTACAGAATGTTGTCAAGTTTTCAATTCAATGAAATGAAATGGGGTTTAACGTCCTACTGTTGTGCTCCGAACTGGACTAATGAAGACGGGCATACGCCATACAGTGTGCTATGAGGGAAATTTTGCCCGGGCAGCGGCACTATCGCCTACTCTTATATCGAATTCCAACTGCCAAGGGATCTTTTACGTGTATTCCAATGTATACACGGGTCCTCGGTTTTTCGTCTCATCCGCAGGACTAGACAGCTGTCCTTGTCAGGCCCTCCGTCCTGCATCACTGACAAGGGGAACCACGCCGGAAAATCTGGATAAACCTTCTCGGCCAATGCAGGGATCGAACACCCGCCCCCCAGGCTAGCGAGCCAGCTGTTGGCAAAGATATATTAGATATAGTTATCAGTACACCATAAATCGATTTATTACATATATATTAAAAATACCTTTAAATTGCTTTTAGATTTTACCAGATCCAACGGAATCCATCACGTCAGGTGTTGCTTTTATAGCGCCATCTGTAACAACTTTTATGGGTCAAAATCCAGCTTATAGAATATATCATCTTGATCCAGTAACTTTTGTACCTGTAGACTACGACCAATATTACCTGAATATAACAAAAGCTAACGGTAAGGTCAAAATTATTAAAGAGCTCTGACCCTAAAAATAACTAAAGCTAACGGTAAGTTATATACTAATTAAAGGGCTAGTTACACGTTTAAACTACGACCAGTATTACCTGGGCATAACTAGAGCTAATGGTAAGATATACATAAAGGGGTAGTTACACGCTTAGACTACGACCAGTATTACCTGAGAATAACTAGAGTTAATGGCAACATATACATTAAAGGGCTAGTTACACGCTTAGACTACGAGGGATATTTGCACCTTTAGACTCTGACTAGTATTTTAAGTAAAATAATGGTAATACATTAAAGAGATATGTACACCTTTAGACTGACTAGTATTTCCTAAATATAACTGAAGCTAATGGTAAGACATATATTAAAGGGTTATTTACACTCTTAGACTCTGGCCAGTATTTTAAGCAAAATAATGTTAATATATTAAAGAGGTATTTGCACCTTTAGACTGGCTAGAATTTGCTAAATATAACTAAAACTTATGATAAAAAATATATAGTAGGCCTGCAGCCAGAATTCTAGATCTCTTAGAAACACTTGCATCTCCCATATAAACAAACAATACATTTTTGGGAAGCTTATAACACCAGGAACAAAACAATTCTGAAGTTGCCTAATATTGGCGAAATACCCGATGTCTTTATCCTTGGCCAAAAATAGTGCATGGGTTAAATTTTTATTTAAACAAAAATGTCTGAAACATAAATGACATGGCTTCACAAGGAATTTTGGAAATCTATTAACGATTCAAAGAGTTATCTCCCTTTATGTCAAAATGGCAGTAATTATTGAAATGAAATGGAGTTTAACGTCCTACTGCTCTGCTCCAACTGGGCAAATGAAGACGGGCATACGCCATACAGTGTGCTATGAGGGAAATTTTGCCCGGACAGCGGCACTACGGCCTACTCATATATCGAATTCCAACGGCCAAGGGATCTTTTACGTGCACGTCAATGTGTACACGGGACCTCGGTTTTTCGTCCCATCCGAACGACTAGACAGCTGTCCTTGTCAGGCCCTCCGTCCAGCATCACTGACAAGGGGGGGGGGGGGCACGCAGTAATTATTGATAACAGTATTTCGTTTAAACAATATTTTAGTCAGTAAACTGAATCGGATTGAAGAACAACCAAGGGCCAATATAAATTATTTCCAAACAGTATTTCTACTAGTTTAGCTGTAAACCTATGTCCAACCTCGTGTGTTTTCTCCGGGTTATCCGGTTTCCTCCCACTGCTAAAGACCCCTACGCGCAAGCGAATTATTGAAATAAAATTGAACCGTATGTTAGTCCATCAAATAATATCGTTTATGTAAATGGCGTTCAGTGTCCTGATGTATATGTATGAAATATTAAATCATAAATAAATGTTATTATTTGATGTCTACAGATATAACAACAGAACGCAAATTTGCGCTCTGTTGTTATCTCTATGTCCATCAAATAATAACATTAATGTAAATGACGTTCCGTGTCCAGATGTATATGTATGAAATATTAAATCACAAATGAATGTTTTTATTTGATATCCACAGATATAACAACAGAACGCAAATTTCAAACGCATAATTCGGTAGCCATTACTCCTTTATAATCCGCCTTTGTCAGGTTTTTATTTTAACAAATAAATCACTATGATGCAGGAAGTTTCCAGAAAATTATAGTTCGTCTGTTAGTGGGGATTAATGTCCTCTATCACCGAGGCTGATATCACGACAAATGTTTCTAAAAAACGCTTGCCAGCTTAGGGCAGGAAATACAGGGCTAAAAAGGAAATTTGCAGCCCTCATTCCCTTCGCCCCACTGTTCTACTCCGACTGGGTAGGGGTGGCACCAACAACATTGTTATACCAAAGGCTGTATAATGTGGATAATGTGAGCAATAGTCATTTTGAGACAAGTAATCTGCTGTCTATGTCTCTGGACAGGTATCCAAGGCCAGGAGGTGAATTTTATCCAGACGTGACCTGCTTATTATCGATATGCCTCGTGTTTTCGCCCCATACGAAACGCTAGACACACTTACTTTGCCAGTCCCCATACTATTGATTTGCTCGGAGCACGCCGTGATTCGAACCAGAATCCTTATAGTCGCGAGTCCGGTGTGGTGATCGCTCGACCTCTGTGGTCCCTATGACTAATAGAGACCGGGACAATATAAATTATATTGTTTATTTACAGCGGATCATAATCCCGTAGTGGAGAAGTTATACAGTGCTAAAGAAGAATACCAATTGAAAGATCTCAGTCCGCAATCATTCCTAGAACTATCCAAACGGTAAGTATGGTGGCTGATTGGTATCATGGCTTGATATCGTGGTGTCGCTCTTCGTAAGGCGACAACCCAACAACGCGACATCAGGACATCACGGCATTTTAACCCGATAACGCGACATCCCGACATTTTAACCCGACAACGCCACATCACGACATTTTAACCCGACAACACTACACCACGACATTTTAACTCGACAACGCGACATCACGACATCACGAAATTTTATCCCGACACCACGACTCAAAGACAACTTGACAACTCGACATCATGACACCACAGGTTGTCGGGTTATCGTGGTGTCGCGTTGTCGGGTTAAAATGTCGTGATGTCGGGTTGTCGCCTTATAAATTGCGACATGATACCAATCAGCCACCATAGGTCAGTCCGTCCACCATTGGATTTCACCACAAGAAAGCCATACACAATATCTACACACAAGAAATTGTCTAATTATGGAAATGACCAGTGAGAATATCCACGGAACACTAACTGGGGAGAATCAATTTGATTAACATACATAGGTCAATTTCGTTTCGTTTTATTTACGATTCAGTGTTAAAATCCGAAACGAAATTGTAATCAAATTTGCTGGGTTGTGTCGATAATTTATCAGCAATGCCAATCTGATTAAAACACAGATCCTATTTCGTTTTGTTTTTATAGTTCAAAATTTCGTTTTACTTGCCTTTACTAAACTAGGATCTGGAAGAGTTGTTAACATTGACGTGTTCTGAATGATGTGAGGGGTTATCCAATGAAACGGTCTGTTACGGCGAACTTTAGGCGTGTTTTCGTTTCGTTTTTTTATAGTTCAAAATTTCGTTTTACTTGTCTTTACTATGCTAGGATCTGGAAGAGTTGTTGTCATTCACGTGTTCTGAATGTTTTGAGGGGTTAGCCAATGAAACGGTCTGTTACGGCGAGATTTAGGGGTGTTTTGCACGGAATTGTGGGTAATCCACTAGTAACATCAATGCTGATTTTTTAATCAAATGTCTGACGTCATAGGGTCAAAATCCGCTCGTATGAACTCTGACATCGAAAGTATAGAAAAACGAAACGAAATATAGATCTGTATTTTAATCAGATTGCAGCGATGTCTATTTCGTGCAACGTGGCGTCATAATCATGCACCTGTGTTGATGGGGGTGAGGGTGGGTTCAAGGTAGGTTATTTCCGAACAAAAACAGTAATTTGTGATAATCAACGACAATAAACTGGTAAATTATTATTTATTCTACACACTCAATCTTTTCCTTTACAGATTTAAATCCAACGAAACTTTAGTTCAACGTTACCTAAGAAATATGTACGCCGGAAGTGATGCAATGGGCGACTGTGATATTGGATGTAAGCATATAACAATTTGTGAGACTTTGTCATCCAGTCTTACAGCGTGGTTAACATGTGTTTCAAGTCTTAATATATGATATGATATTAATTTTAACAAGATCTGCCAGGCAGATATGAAAGCTTTCATATTCACGGTCACTTCCTGTCACATGTCATGGGTTATATAAAGAATCACAATAAGAAAAGATAATCATTAAAATCAGTCAAAAACTAGCGAAGTTCATGCGATTTTTCACCCGTAAACATCTTTGTCGGCACAAAAAACGTCAAAGGCAAAATTCGAAATTATGACATTTTAAAATACCAAAAATTTGACCCTGATCCCGGCTATTGGTAATAGCAGACGTATTCTTCAGACTACGGCCTATTGTGTTCATTTTCACGTCCGTTAACGTGGATTCTTCTCTTTTTCATAATCATTTCAAAATGGTGACCATAAATTGACCGAAATCAAAATTCGGCTCTGAACGTTTTTTAGGCATTCCTTCAAGGATTCAGAAAATATAACTCCCATGTCTGTAAGTAGAATATCGCTAAAGCCTTAGGGATTTTTCACGTTTCAAGATGGTGGCACTTCCGGTTCGATTGATAGACTTCAAATTTTGTGTACTCATCAATAATGTCTTAGCTAGTACAGAGAAAAAAATCAAGTCAATCTGACCTATATTAGTAAGATCTACTTACATTACAAAGTTCATGAAAATTCTGCAAATATTAAAGAAGTTGTCAAGTTGGTCTCAACTTCCGGGATGAAATCACAGCGACGAATTTTCGAAATTCAAAAATCTGAAATTGTAGATGAAAATGAAGTTTGTCAAGGTATTTAAAGAAAAAAGAATTAGTAAAATAGGTCAAAAATCCACAAAGTTACGAATATGCATCGTCAGTTTTTTCGTTCGTACATTTCAGTGATTTCGAATTCGTAAAACGTTTGGAAAATATATTTATGCAAAAGCCATCACACAAATGGGTGTGTGTGTGGGGGGGGGAGGGGGGGGGGGGTAGGTCAAAGTTTCAGTAAGCTTTCATATATAATATGAAAGCTTAATTAATTAATTATTCATTTTTTATTCATTCATTTAATTATTTGTTCATCATTGTAACTGGATATTTCTCCACAGACTCCACGTGTCCAAAGAATGAAATCAAATATATATAATTAATTAATGAATAATATATTCATTTTATGTATTTATTCATTAAAAATCATTTTAATATTTCTAAATAAATATGTCTCAACAAATTTAATGTACATTAAGAATGAAATGAAAAGAAGCAAGTATTATATAGGTTCCGCTTATTTACATTAGACCAGCCTAAATAAAGGAAGAGTCCCGGGGAAGAACGATCTAAGTCACTTTTTCAATGAACCCCAGTTAATGGTGCCATCTGGTAGCAAATTGTATAATCTTTCTGTTGAACAATCAATTCCAGGTAAAAACAATCGGAGTTACCTCGAACCTAGGCCCTTCTGAAATGGCCCCCAGGACAAATACGTCCATCGTACCCTTTATTTGACCCTAATTTGGCTGAAAAGTGGAGTCAGTTGTTGTACTGGTAATGGTGGTTCGTATTAAACATCATTTTGAAGTTGTAATTAAACCTACTCGTTTTTCTGGTCGCGTCAAGCATTCTCGTCCAAAAGTCTGTTTTGCCTTTTATGCGAAAAGACAAAAATGTGACTTAGATTGTTCTTCCCCTGGACTCTTCAAAGGCAAGCATACACCGTGCAGTCTGATATGTCGATTGGATGGCTGAATGTTTAGCGCGTGCGCGTTGTATCATAAGGTCTGTCATTGAGTCAACTGGCGTGGTTTCGATTTCCTGACTGTACGTGACAAGGAGTAGGATCGCCTGTCCAACATCGTGAGTTTTTTTTCCGGGTCCTCCAGTTTCCTCCTACGCGCAAGCGAATTATTGAAATAAAATTGAACCATATGTTAGTCCGAAACTGATCTAGTTTGTTGCGAGTGGACGTTAAACCCCATCTCTCTCGCGTGTTAGATACCTACATTGGCCGAGAAAGTTCATTGGGATTTTCCGACGTGGTTTTCCCTTGTCTAGTCGTTTGGATGTTACAAAAAACCGAGGTACCGTGTATACATTGGCATGCACGTAAGTGATCTCTTGGCAGTTGGAATTCTATGTGAATAGGTCATAGTGCTGCTGTCCAGGCAAATATGCCTCATAGCATACTGCATAGCGTATGCCCGTCTTCATTAGCCCAGTCGGAGCATTTCATATTCATTAAGTTATTGTAAAGTCTAAATATCATAATGTGTTTTAAAATGAAATTTTTGTTCGTTTTTTTTACAATGCTATACTTAGTGCCCTTGCTCAACTAATGGCATGTTTTTCTCTCATGTAGCGAATCCACTTTCTGCTGTTACTCGATTTGGCCAATCGGATTAAAACACAGATCATATTTCGTTTCGTTTTTATTGTTCAAAATTTCGTTTTACTTGTCTTTACTACACTAGGATCTGGAAGAGTTGTTATCATTGACGTGTTCTGAATGGTGTGGGGTATTACCCAATGAAACGGTCTGTTAGGCGTGTTTTGCAAGGAACTGTGTGTAATCGACTAGTAACATCAATGCTGATTGGTTAATCAAATGTCTAACGTCATAGGTCAAAAGTCGCTCGTATGACCTCTGACGTGACCGATCGCAACAACCGGTCAGATCTTCATGTAGCTGTAGGCCATCAAAAGGTATAAAAACGAAACGAAATATAGATCCGTATTTTAATCAGATAGCGATTTGGCTGAATTCGTCTGATGGACTTTATTTGACAACTGGTTAGTAATTTCGTTTAAGATGCATGTTGATCTCGCTATAATAGTTTTTTTTTTTAAAAAAAGGATAATGTAAAATGAATATATTGAAAATTCCAATCAAATTACATGTACTTTATTCTGAATGTTAGAATGTTGGAAGTTTTGATAAGAAATGTGTAGTCTCGCTTTTCATAACTAGCGTTGTTACGATAATAAACAAAGTCTCGATTATTCAGTTTAGAATTAAATTATTAAATGGCAATGGTGTTTTAATCCGTTCAAAATCATAACCACCAATCGTCTATATAGTTGATTATGGGCTTGTCATGTGAATAAGTGGCTAATAAATGAAATTATAGAATGACAATGATGTTTCAATCTCTTATTAATCATAACCACCCGGTTGTCTATAGAGTTGATTATGGGCTTGTCATGTGAATAAATGGCTAATTTATAATTTATATGGCATTTGAGGCCGAACAAGTCCCTTAATAGGCAGATGTAGGTCTTCCATAATGTAGCTTTAACTTAATGACCTAATGCTAATGGCAATATTTACTGAAGCAAATCTCTAACAGTTATATAAATTTCAAAATCAAAACATGTCCATTTTGTGAATTGAATTAAATCGAATAATATATTCCAGTTCACTTAACTTAATAAGCTAATGACAATATTTACTGAAGCAAATCTGTAACAGTTATATAAATTTCAAAATCAAAACATGTCCATTTTATGAAATGAATTAAAACGAACAATATATATTCATTATCGACTAGTATTTACCTTGGATAGCGCTGTATCATACGGTCTGTCATTTAGTCAACTGGCGGGATTTCGATTCCCCGGTTGTAGGCGACAAGGAGTTTGGTCGCCTGTCCAACCTCGTGGGTTTTCTCCGGGTCCACCGGTTTTCTCCCTCTGCTAAAGACCCCTACGCGCAAGCGAATTATTGAAATAAAATTGAACCTTGTGTTTGTCCCGAAATGACCTAGTTAATTGTGTCGAGTGGACGTTAAACCCATTTCTCTCGCTCGCCTTCAAAGAAATGATGTATTTTATCTTTAAAAGATATTCTGGGAAAGCGCCTTCAGTGAAATATAGTATTTTAATGCTAAAAGATAATGTGGGAAAGCGCCTTCAAAGAGGTTATGTATTCGGGCTCGAAAAGATAACTAGCAAACTTCTTTCAAAGAAAGCGCTAAATGTTTTTCGATTTTTATTTTTGGTATATCTATTTATATTTTAAAAATTTATTTAAAGTTTTATAATGGTAATATTTATTAACGATACTTTTAGAGGGGTGTGTCTCACCAATTCATCAATGTAAAGTAAATTGTCACAATGTTGCTACAACGAGAGGATATTTTTTTATATTTAGTGTTATTTTAAGTTAGCTCAAGGGCATGTGTTAATAAATAGATTGATTTTCTGCTTTTGTTTTATAGATTTATTTTATTACGAAATATTATCATTCAACAAGCATTTGAATTGGATATTATCTTTGTTGGAATAATGTTCTACGCATACGGGTCTCACCCGTACTAATATTATTACCGCCCGAAGATCACCCGGTCCAATTTTGTTACGGCCTAGTACCAATATTATTACCGCCCGAAGATCACCCGAACCAATATTATTACAGCCTAGAAGGGGATAATCAATCTATTTCATAGAGTATTACGAAAGTCTTGTAATATCTCTGTAAAAGATGACTGCCTTCAACACATGACGTCATATCACGCGGCGTCAATCATTGGCTCAATGGCACGTGCATTGTTTACATAAGACGTTACTGATTCGAGCAGAATGGCAACTTTCACTCATTTTAATACCCATTTACACTAAAATAGAAAATAATTTGTACCTACAAATACTTCAAACGTCTTTATTTATTTTTCTAATACATACAAAAAAATGTTTTAGAATTTAATTTGTCGGAGGAAAAAAGTTAATATTTGCGGCTCATTAAGTAGCATCGATGTCACCTTTACCAGTGATTGTCGCGGCCTAGCGAATATTCACTGCGGATCAGTGTGGGGGATAATAACGAAATGAATCGGCTTTTAAGGAGGTAAACGGCAACCCGTTTTTACCGTTCAGTAAATTTATGACCTCCATCATGGGGACATATCAAAAGGTCAACACGGGGCTTTTGTTATAGAGTCAGTTTACAAGACCCTAACCCTAACCCTAGTGAAACATAGGTCCACCACGAACACGGAAGCGTTAAATCCAGGGTCAGGGTCAAAAAGAATAAAATATATGTTAAGATACTATGAATCACTGAGCCTAAAATACCCGCATAATACTACTTAATATTCTGGAAAATGGGCCTTAATGTCTATTAAGGGGGGGGGGGGGGCGATGGCCGAATGGTTAGCATGTGCGCGCTGTATCATAAGGCCTGTCATTGAGTCAACTGGCCTGGTTTCGAATCCACGGTTGAACGTGACAAGGAGTAGGGTCGCCTGTCCAACCTCGTGGGTTTTCTCAGGGTCCTCACCTTCCTGTACCAGGTGTTAGTCCCGAAATTACCTAGTTTGTGTCGAGTGGACGTTAAACCCCATCTCTCTCTCTCTCTCTCTCTCTCTCTCTCTCTCTCTCTCTCTCTCTCTTACAAATATATAATTACCTATATGATATAGGTCATACATTTACCAAACGGGGAGGGGGGGGGGTGTATGTCGAGTGAACGTTAAACCCCATTTCTCTCTCTCTTTTTTACCAAACGGTAAAAACCCATCGCCGTTGACCTCCTTATGGGCCAAATTATTTCGTTATTATTATCCCCTTCCAGACGGTAATAATAGTGAGCAAGAGAATTCGAACAGATCACTCGAGGGAAAGGTGACCTAACCCTTATCACGTACAGAAATAAAATGAAATGAAATGGGGTTTAGCGTCCTACTGTTTGCCCCGAACTGGGTTAATGAAGACGGGCATACGCCATACAGTGTGCTATGAGGGACATTTTGCCCAGACAGTGGCAATACGGCCTACTCTTATATCGAATTCCATCTGTCAAGGGATCTTTTACGTGCACGTCAGTGTGTACACGGGACCTCGGTTTTTCGTACCATCCGAACGCCTAGACAGCTGTTATTGTCAGGCCCTCCGTCCTACATCACTGACAAGGGGGAACCACGCCGAAAATCTAGATGAACTTTCTCGGCCAATGCAGGGATCGAACACCCGACCTCCAGGCTAGCGAGCCAGCGTCTTACCCACCTAGTCACGTGATCCCCTTATCACGTACAGGAGTGGTAGTGAAACAGCGACACATGCGCACAAACCCACAAATTGATGGTTGTTGCTCCGCCGTGATATCTCCCAATAATAACTATAAAAACTTCAATTTTGCGTTATGGTGATAATGGTTGATATACGGGTCTATGGAACGCCACATTAGCATATTTTTGACTGAATACATCATAATGATAAAATATTAAAGATACATTATGGGAAATTAGTTAATGAGATGACAGTTATCACTACAATAGTTAAAAACTAGATAATGTAAAGGGGATTTGTTGAAAATTTCAATCAAATTGATCCACTCTGAAATGAGAATTTAGCAATTGAATTTTAGGCCTAGCCTCGGTCATCATTACTAAAGTCGGTACGATAAACAACAAAGTCTCGATTATCCTGTTTTACATTTAATTATCCTTCACAAAATGTATTCCAATCCGCTAAATATCGCAGGCCAGCGATGGCATCGAGAGTTGATTATGGCCTTGATAAGTTAATTAATGTCTAATTAATTAATTTAACGTCCACTCGATATAAACTAGGTCATTTCGGGACAAAGCCACGAGAGCGAGAGAGAGAGAGAGAGAGAGAGAGAGAGAGGTTAGGTGATGGAATTTGAAAAGTGTTGCCATAACTAATTTATTTTCCCAATATTCACGATTCCTGTAGTAAATTCATTGTATTACTATTATAAGGTAGGCCTATTTTTACATAACGACAACCGGAAACTCATTTCATGGCTTGTCAAGCAGACATGGTTTCTGTTGCCAGTCTAATGGATCTTTTTATAGAAACAAAATAAACTTAGGGGGGGGGATGAGGGGGGGGGGGGTGGTTGTGAGCGAATCATTGGCAATACCCTAATGCCCCAAACATACAGGTTAATTACACAAAATATTTACTAAAAATAACCGCCTCTTGGATTATCTGAGGGGAGGGATGAATAGGGGGGGGGGGGGGCTTACGCCTCACACATATAAACCTGGAACAATTAGGCATATATTTACTAAAACTAGCCACGTTCATAGATATGATGATCTAGGGGATGTCGGAATAGTGGAAATATTAAAATAATTTCAAACCACCCCGTAGCTGACTGGGTTTAAAACTCGGCATATATCCTGGGTTAGTCCTTTAGTCATTAAGGGTTGGGTGGCGGTGGATGGCCGAATGGTTAGCGCGTGCACGTTGTATCATAAGGTCTGTCATTAAGTCAACTGGCGGGTTTTCGATTCCCCGGTTGTACGTAACAAAAAGTGGGGTCGCCTGTACAACCTCGTGGGTTTTCTTCGGGTCCTCCGCCCCCCCCCCCCCCCCACTGCTAACAACCCCTACGCTCAAGCGAATTATTGAAATACAATTGAACCATATGTATCATACGGTCTGTCATTTAGTCAACTGGCGTGTTTTCGATTCCCCGGTTGTACGTGACAAAAAATGGGGTTGCCTGTCCAACCTCGTGGGTTTTCTACGGGTCCTACGCCCCCTCCCCCCTGCTAAAGACCCCTACGCACAAGCGAATTATTGAAATAAAATTGAACCATATGTTAGTCCTGAAATTACCTAGTTTGTGTAGAGTGGACGTTAAACCCCATTTCTCTCCCTCCCCCTTTATTCATTAATGGTTCTCGCCATATTGTTTTCAAGTCAGGCTTTACTCATCCCAAGGGGCATTAAAGCTTTTAATTATGAAATAATATTTTATAAATATTGAACATGTCACATGGGAGACAGAATTACTAATACATATTTAACAACATAGATGCCGTTGATATTGTTCGACAACACAATACGTTACTACATTGAACACGAACACTATAAACCTCGAGTTTATGGTAATGTTGTCTGACTTACGACTTTTTGCTTTAACTCGTATTGATCGATTGTAGCAAATGGAACCGAAGCGCGCGAGCCAGGCAGAACCAGACGACAGTGACGATGGAGCACGCGCTGTCCTTCCTATATTCATCAAGTGATTCAAGAGAATAGTAGCATTATTTCTCTTCTACATTGATTGGATTACAATCGGTACATTTCATCACAGGTTGTCGTGCCGAGTATCCATGGAAACGGAATGGTGACGATTTTTTTCCTGTTTACCCGAGGATCATGTATCGGTGTTAATTGGGAGTAAGTTGGCGTCGTTTTATCACCAATATGAATCGAGCAATGGAGGTCCAGGATTAGGCCCAAACAGGAATACATTTCTAAACACAGACGGCGAGCTGGGTGGAGTGTTGACGCGATGGCCAGCAGCATCGAATTAAACCTTGAACATCAGGAACTGGTATTCTATTCTGGAGAAAGAATTCGTGGAGCCCTGGTTGTTCATCTGCAGAATCCTGTTACCATTTCAGGTAGGTGTTATGGGCGGGCGCTAGGCCTACTTAAACATACTATAGATCCCTACTGTTGAAAACACTTATACCGAGGGCTATCAATTCCTGCTCTTAAAATGCATTAACAATGGCCGTCATATTTACACCACTGGAGTCGAAGTGTTGATTTGAATAAGCAAGAAGTTTCCTGCTAGTCCAATCGATAGACCCGTTTTCTATTATTAGTATCTGGGGGATTTTTGTTGATTGTTGGATGGTTGAAAGATTGAGTGCTTTAAAATATGGCTGTTCAGTTGATCTAAGCAGAAATGAAATGAAATGGGGTTTAACGTAGTGCAGTTCTGCGCCGACTGGGCTAACGAAGCCATACAAATAACGATGTGCTATTTTGCCTTGGCAGCGGCACTATGGCTACTCCTTATATCGAATTCCAACTGTCAGGATACACGGGACCTCGGTTTTTCGTCCCATCCGAATGATTAGACGACTGTCCTTGTCGGACCCTCCTTCCTGCACAACTGATAAGGGGAAAACAAGCCGCAAAATCCCGATTAACTTTCTCGGCCAATGCAGGGATCGAACACGCGACCTCCAGGCTAACGAGCCAGCGTCTTAACCACAGCGTCTTAGCCACTTAACCACCGTGTCTCCGTTGATCTAAGCTTTATTCCCATCAAGTTATTTTTGAACGTTCTGGTCTATTTCTGGCAAGGATTGAGTGCTCGTAGATCAACACGGAGAAAGAAATATAGATGCTCAGCACAGCACTATTATTTTATTTTGAGTGAACTCCAAAATATGGCAGATGATAGGGGCTATTGATGGGGGGAACTCTGATCGACAACAACTCTGATCGCGGTTCAGCGTCCACTCGACACAAAGTAGATCATTTCGGGACTAACATATGGTTCAGTTATTCGCTTTTTGGCTGAACTTCAAAATATGGCAGATGATAGGGACTATTGAGAGAGAGAAATGGGGCTCAACGTCCACTCGACACAACATATGGTTCAGTTATTCGCTTTCGTGTTGGATAGGCAGATTTAGCTCTTGTATGATTAAACAATGATAGACCTTATGTTCTAAAGTACGCATTCAACCCCTCACCCCGATAGCAAATGATACTAAGCTTATTTATTTATTTATTTATTCTTCAAGTAAAGGTTAAAACATGACAATAAATTAATGTATTATGATAAGAACTAGTGTCGCATTGCACGACTGGGAAAGTGACAACAATAAATATAGATATGTATATGAAAATAAGAACTATGTGCTACATTGTATAATTGGGATGCGAAATGAGACAAGCATAGAGAAATATGATTGGTATGGTGTCATGAAGAGACCTTTACATAGGATAGCCCATAAAGCCTGACGTATATAACATCCGTTGCTTATTTCCAATGGGGTCCATAAATCTATGGCTTAGATGAATATAATGTACTAATATATAAAATGATAATTACCACATTGTAATATGGGAGTCACGGTGAGTAAGACGTTGGCTCGCTAACCGTGATGTCCTGTGTTCGAGTCCCTTGTCGGTGGGGCTGGACTGGGGTCCTGACTAGGGACAACGTATAGTCGTTCGGATGGGACCAAAAACCGAGGTCAAGTGTACACATTGGCATGCACGTAACGGACCCCTTTACAGTTGGAATTCGAGATAAGAGTAAGCCGTGGTACCGCTATCCGAGTGTATGCCCGTCTTTATTGGCCCAGTTTGACGTTAAAGCTCATTTCATTTCAAATCGGGGGTTGGATGGCTGAATGGTTAGCGTGTGCGCGCTGTATCATAAAGTCTGTCATTGAGTCAACTGGCGTGGTTTCGATTCCCCGGTTGTACGTGACAAGGAGTTGGGTCGCCTGTCCAACTTCGTCGGTTTTCTCCGGGTACTCCGGTTTCCTCCCACTGCTAAAGACCCCTACGCGCAAGCGAATTATTAAAATAAATTAAACCATATGTTAGTCCCGAAATGACCTAGTTTCAAAGTTTGTGTCGAGGGGACTTGAAACCTCACCTCTCTCTCTCTCTCTCTCTCTCTCTCTCATTTCAAATCGTAATAAGCTCAGTTTATTTAATGTGACATCTGTCCTATTTAAATAACGGGTCAACGCCTTATGTTCGTTTTTATTGTCGATAACAAAAGCTGATAATATCTCCATTAGCATTAACAAATCAGCCATTATATTAATTATCATCATATTTAACGGTATTCAGGGATAAAAAAATCAATAGTCAACACAGAGATGGACATATAGATAACTACAAAATATTTTATATGGCAACCAGTTTACAAATATATATATATAATTAAAAGGTATATTATATGGCAGCCAATTTACAGATAATATATATATATAATTACAAAGTATTAATATATTAAAGGTTAACAAATAATATAATTACAAAGTATATTATATGGCAACCAGTTTACAAATAATATAATTACAAAGTATATAATATGGCAGCCAGTTTACAATTAATATACTTACAAAGTATATTATATGGCTTACAAATAATATAATTACAAAGTATATTATATGGCAACCTGTTTACAAATACTTTATATGGCCACCAGTTCAAAAATATATATGATTACAAAGTATATTTTATGAAATCCAGTTTACAGATACATGTAATTTAAAAGTATATTTTATGACAACCAGTTTACAATTATATAGGGGTGGAGAGATGGCCGAATGGTTAGCGCGTGTGCATTGTATCATAAAATCTGTCATTGAGTCGACTGGCATGGTTTCGAATCCCCGGTTGTACGTAACAAGGAGAAGGGTCGCCTGTTCAACCTCGTGGGTTTTCTCCGGGTCCTCCGGTTTCTCCCCACTGCTAAAGATCCCTATGCGCAAGCGAATTAATGAAATAAATTAAAAACCATATGTTAGTCCCGAAATAACCTAGTTTGTGTCGAGTGGACGTTAAACTCCATTTCTCTCTCTCTAACAATTATATAGGGGTGGGGAGATGGCCGAATGGTTAGCGCGTGTGCGTTGTATCCCACTGCTAAAGACCATATACTATTCCCGAAATAACCTAGTTTGTGTCGAGTGGACGTTAAACCCATCTCTCTCTCTCTCTCTCTCTCTCTCTCTCTCTCTCTTACAAATATATGTTTATGTGATAACCAGTATATATTCAATGATTTGTACATAAAAAGATAAAAATACGCCCAATTAAAAAAAATAACCAATTTTACTTCTTCCTTCTGACGTAGCTGATATAGGGCGAGTTCGAGATGTTATAAAGCGTTGTAACATGCTTAAGGGTGAATCTTGCGTTTTGATTGGTTGATTAGACACTGTCTATTGGACAATAACATCCCTCTAAATTAGAAAAATCACTGCGTATTAATATTATGCGTACTACTTTGATCGAAATAACCACAATGGAGACAATTTATTTTGATTTCGGTACATGAAATTGGAAATGAAATGAAAAGAAATGGGGTTTAAGGTCCTACTGTTCTGCTCTGAACTTGGCTAATGAAGACGGGCATACGCCATACAGTGTGCTATGAGGGAAATTTTACCCGAACAGCGGCACTACGGCATACTCATATCGAATTCCATCTGCCAGGGAATCTTTTAAGCGCACGCCAATGTGTACACGGGACATTGTTTTTCGTCCTATCCGAATGACTACAGAGCTGAGGTGGATAATATCACACCTCCCCTTCCCAACCGCCCATAATGCACCATAGAAATAACAATAACCGTAAAGCCTAGCTCACAACCCGCCGTACGCGTTTCGACACGTGCCGAACACACGCAAGTGACGTGTAATCCTAAAGCTGCATTTCCTTTAGTGCGGACCCGGTCCGGCTCCGGCCCGGTTGCGGATACGGAAAAAAACACTTTCATAGAATTTTAGTAAGAGTGTTTCCTTATGTGCGGGTGCGGATACGGTTCTGTATGCGGCGTCCGGTACGGTTTTTCGAAACGGACCATGTAGCGTTCGGTACGGAAACGCATGCGGAACGCACATAAGGAAACACGGTTTGGGTAGCCCGCACGGGAAAAAGCTAAAAATAGTTTTTTTCTTTTTTTTACGAACTTGACAATGCCGGTGCCATGTTGAAAAGAGGACCCTTCCGCTTGAATAACCGCATATAAGGATACAAAACCTGCCGTGTGCTATGTCGACTCCCGGACCGGAGCCGGACCTGATCCGTTCTAAAGGAAATGCAGCTTTACGCATGGGTTTATTAAAATTTTCCCCGTAGACTGCCCGTGAGAGCACGTACGGCGGCTTGTGATCTAGGTTCAAAATGTTAACTAGACGTCCATTACCTTGGCGTGTATTGTCTATTAACGATACCTAATTAATTACAGAAGTAAATAATGTAGAATATTGAATTATTAATCTATGTATATACATTTAATGAACAGGGTATATTAAACATAATGTCTAATTGAAATGGAAAGAATAAGAAGATAATTACAGACATACATATTGATCAATGTATTAACGAATTCCCTTATCATACTAAACGTAGGCTCGCTGTCAATAGTTAGCTTCCTTTGAGAAGAGACACTAAGCTAGTTGGCCGACATTTTAAGTTCTAAATCGACGATTTTAGTAGAAAACACTAAGTATTTTTCGCGAATTTTGTTAAGTATTTATTCTGCTTCCATTTAATGAAATTGAAAAAAAGTTTATTCAGTCTTTGTGTGTATGAAAGATGTGAAACGGAGTAGAACCGCATTACAAAACAGTATACCAATGTTTGGATATGTCAGCCATTTAGGGCAGAGATCTATACTCGAAGTACGAAGTAGATGGTTCTCTGAGTGCAGCATGTTCCCTTATAACTACCTGCGTTAAATAGCTAATGCATCATAGACACACTGATTTTCAGGAGTTAGCAGTTTGTACTTTTAAATTCATTTGACATCCACTGACATTACGTCATTCCAATGGGATCAAATACCGAGTCCACATTGGCGTCCAGTTAAAGAACCCCGAGTAGTTTTGAAAACAGATTTAGCGTAGGCTG